TTACATAGATATGTAACAACATGAAACATTTTGTAGAAAAACCGAATCCTCGGAAAAATCACTCCTTGAAGTCCCTGACATCCCATGGGGGTCACGTGGCCACAGGAAGCAAATTGGGCGGTCGGGAAAGGGTTAAAGGACGAATTCACGCTGGGAAGGCAACCCATTTCAAATTAACTCAGGGATGGTGAGAGAACCATGAGAAACGGCCCAGAACCCGAGAAATGGGACCCCTTCCTTGCCCGTTGATTTGAGCATTGATGCGACTCTCATCGCTGTGCCCTCTTCAACACTACGCTCTCTCTGCTATCTAATCACTCGCCACGTATAGATCTGCGGCGAGTGATCAGCTGGTCGGTGGGCGGAGATCGCCAACTTTGAGGCATAATAGGTCGCCGAGGTCAAATTTTTCGATGCGAATTGCGCATCAGTTCGCACCCTCAGGAGGTCCGTGGGTTACTCAACTAGGTGAATTACTTCTTCCTCGACCTCCATTCTAATCGTAAAATCCTCCTTTAAGGACGAGCTACGGTACAGTGCGTAGCAAACGCATGTAGACACCCCAAAATCGATTCTCATAGAATCTTCTCAATTCAAGTCCTCGTGGTCGATGGCCTATGTGAAATTTGGGCAAAAAAATTTGCTCTGGGTGAACAAACTATTTTGGATGGGAATTTTTTTCTTTCTATCAAAAGTATGTGAACACGCTGAGGCAGATCAACTTTCTGCTCTAATTTCTTAACCTATGTTTTTCCTTTGGTTACTTATTCTGGCATTATTCCACTTCACAGAAGACATTTCTTTTAGAAAGGCCAAGCTGAGATGTGGGGTCCTCATGTGCTGGACCTTCCAATGCGAAATCGCAAGCCGACCCCGTCGTGCCTCGTCGTTTGTTGGAAGAGACCCAGTATCCTGATACTAAGCCCCAACACTGAGTGAGGGTAGTCTTCTATCGGTATATCAAAACAACACAAGAATGCGCACGTCTCAAACTCTTTTTCTGCTATCCGTCACCAACGTAATGACTTTCGCTGAAAAGCTCACTTGTGTTCAGCCAATCAGCGAACACACGACACGAGAGAGATGAGAGAAGCTTGTGTATTGTGGCAACACAGACGGGTCAAGTTGGAATCCCTTTAAATAAGATCACAACTTGGGACGTTGAACCTGAAGAGACAACGCTTTTGTGGAAATTGTAAGATAAGAACAGAACACGCTCTGTGGAAAATTCCCCCTCAGACAACCTCGACTGGTGAGGGAAAGCCTATCTTTGGCTATTTGGGTGGATCGGATCGTTGCTAATTGAGGGACCTTCTTCGTGTCTCGCAGCTGTACTCAACGAGGCATTTCGGAGGAGGCTCGTCAATTATCTAAAGGGTTTCAAAGGAAGCGAAAAAAGAGATTGGCTTGCCAGCAGGCTAGGTAGACAGTACGGATTGTAATGAGGTGCTTGATTCCGACTATCCCTTTAGAAAAACCAGCGTCACATAATACTTGTTTTGCAGCAAGTCGAAGGGGCCCCTACAAGTATTCGGGTGAGCAACATTAGATGCAAGTGCAATTCTGTGGAGACTTGTTCACACCTCCACTCACCTGCCTGTGGGGACACCTCGCTTAATTGCTGTCTGTCGACTGCTGACCTCTTCCTGTTAGAGCCATCTAATTGTAAGGGCAGAATTGACTGTGTAAATCGTGAATACCTTTGAAAAGTCATCCACATTGAACTACAGAAGGTACAGTACTCACCTACATAGAATTAGGAGATTACTATGTGTTTAGTACTATGGTACTGGAAATAAAATGTAAGGCATTCACTTATTAATATAAGTGTTTATTTCCAATCAAAAAATGGGTATGGGATCTAGAAGGTGGCTCATTTCATCCTGATCAGCGATATTCAGTGTACAAAATTGGAAGTTAAGATGGAAGTTTACTATAAAGTTTGCTGAAAATTATTATAGCTAGCTTGGATATTGTTTCACAATACACAAGGTCATGATTGATTTATTCCCTCTAGCGGGTGGCTCAGCGCAAGGGTAATTGAAAAACTCTCGAGGAGACGGTTTTCTCGCTTCACTGGGACATGGTCCTGCATTCCGTGTAGTCCCCTACATTTCATTACACCATTTTTATTAAACCGTTGCAGTACAGCCCAGCTCGCAAGCGGCCCAGAATATTCGATGTTCAAAACCCGAAATAAAAAAAACTCAGTAATATCAATTTTAACCAGAATCGTATATCGCAGTGAGATCGCTAACCTAATTGCCAGAAAGGTAATAATAGGTGGAAATTTCAATGAAGACTTTGGTTTTTTTTAAGTGTACCAGTTGTTCAGATCAGGGTTTTCTCGAAAGTGAAGAATGATCGGAATTAGTTCATTCACAAGTTCATAAAGCTGAACTACCAAATCGTAAGTTTTAGGTTTTTCAGTGTTAGTTCGATTATGGTGTGGTTTAATTTGCATTTGTTAGGTTGCGATTAATTTTCGATTTTGTTATTTTTCTCTATTTCCAAAATCTTCTGCATATCTCTAATTGGGATGTGATGTAGTGTCGATGCGAGGTCAGCAGTCAACGCAGTCAATTAACGGGGTCACTCCACAGGCGATTGCTCGGACACGCGAGTTGGCAGGTGTGATATAGGGAGTGTGAGGTCACTTGCATCTAAAGTCTTCCTCCCCAGGTTCCGTTTGGGAAGAAGTCAAACGCGAGGGTTTCGAGGTGCTGGATTGGCTGGCGTATTTCTCAGACCACATCGTTATTGAAAACGTAGGGGGATAGTGGTTCACTGCTTCTGCGCCATTAAAGAAAAGTAGTACCCAAGTGACCTAACAAGTTGCTGAAATTAGCTGCTTGGGAAGAGTTCAACGAAACAGGTATCGGGAGCCTGGTTCAGAACATGCCGAACAAAATGTTTGAACTCATCAGAATCTTTGGTAGGCGTACAAGTCTCTGATTCTAAAGATGTTTCCGTTTTTCGAAAAGTGTCCACTTACTTTTGATACAGGGAAAGTTCTCCCATTAACTAGAAAAATTTTAAACTGAATTTTTAGCAGCAGCAGAGAAATGAGAAAATCCAGTTTAACACGTCTGAGAAATCGAATGTGGCAATCTCATGGCGCAGAAGTCAACAGTTTCTCAATGAATGAAAATTTTTAGGGTGTTCACATACTTTTGGTACGCACTGTATTATTATATGCAAAACAGATGGAGAGAGGCCATTTAAAGAAGAGTAGACGTCCAAAGGATTCAGAAATATCGGAGATCCTGAATCAGTTTGTTAACTTTGTAAGGTTTTAGACCTCAGCGTGTCTCTGCGAAGTTTCCCACAATGTGGAAACTTAAAATTTTATGGCAACTGAACTTCAACACCATTTGGAGCTCCTTTTAAAAGGTTTGGAAAATGAAAAAAAGAAAGGGTGTTCAATGTTGATGTCAATTTGTTGGCAACTCCTATCTGTTCCTTCCAAAAATGGTTTGGCTGGCGATTGTGGTAGTCTATTAGAGGGTGATCGTTGAATACGATGGGTGGGACAAAACTACTATGGCAAGTTTTCATGGCTTCCTGATACTCATTCGCAAAAAGTGATCAGCTACCACGTAGCGCAAAAATTTTCCTTTCTAGGGTGAACCAGAGGAAGACAACGTAGTTGTAAGCAGTCTACTGTCTACCTCAATATTGTTGTTATCGTGATTATCTTAAACAGATTGCAGAACCGAGTTCGAGTGTTGGTCAGGTCTCGGAGCTCCTGTTTGCTATTGAGCTGCTTCCATGCACCCAATCTTCCTGGTATGCTTGACAGTCTGTCTTCTTCTCAACATCGGTGAACGTCGATCAATTTGAAAGGGCAATTAGGCAAAAAGGCATACTAAATGCTCAGGGGTGGTCTCAGTGCATCACACCCAGATCACATGGATTAGGTTGCTCCATCCTGAAATTTTCAAATAGTTTGAAATTTGTATTGTAAATCGTGGCGTCTTGGAAGCCCTAGATATCTTTTACAACCAAACAGGTACTGACAAGTAGTCTGCCTTAATTAAACTCCTAAAATCAACAAGAGTCAGGTGACAAAACGTACACGGTCTTCAGGACTACAGCTGCTCTAACACTTTTCTTGCAACTAGGGTTAGCAGGTCTTTTTTGTTCGCCACGGCGTACTCCATGTGCTTCTGCCTGTGTATCAAATTCGGGTAAAGACACAGTGTATCCTCAGCTTTAATTATCCTGTTGCATGTTGAAAATTGAGAGTAGGAGTAGGAAGGCGCACTCTGACCCCTAAGTACATTTTAGAGAGCTGTTGCAATCGATGCGTTTTTTTCGTGCGGCCATCAAAAATTACGCAAAAACCTACTCACCAACTTAGAAACTCTATAATTCTCTGAAAAGCTTTTGGCGTTTATTTAGGAGCCGGCATCTTTAGGACGAGGGTGAGAATTAAAGTTTTACTAAAGTTGAATCAGCAGGCAAATATTATAGATGTGTTGAACGGGTAAATTTGCTTGGTAATTTACTTTATACAGCCCGCGTAAATTTCATAAAACTCATCTGAAATGCGAACGTATGGAAAAGTTATGACGACTCAGCAAAAAATTCCAAATTTTTCACGATATTGGGTGCACCCATGCTCCATGGATTATTAAGTCTTCAACTAAGCGCCGGCACCGTAACCATGGCCCTTTTTACATTGCAATTAGCGAGGAATCTCCTTGCTTGATGAACTCACATAAGAGCATGCAGCAGCTGCGAAGTGGCCGACTGTCTTGTTGTGAGCCTGCTCGCTTATGCTCATCTGTGGTGTTATTATATTCACTGTTCAGCTTTTCGAGATCTATCCCAAGTATAACAAGAATTTTACATTTTGGAGCGATACACTCCAAACGAATGGGTTTATGAGGAAATCGACTTTCTGCGCCATGATGATCTTTTCCTTTTTTCCTTTTTCCCTCATTCCGAAGTGTCTTTTGTAGGTGGACGGATTCGACGTGGAATTCTTTACAAAAATGGATTGGATGTTGCTGCTGAGCATTATCGTGCACACTTTGACAAATGTGACGGGACTTATTACCAATGGTATTCTTATATTTCTGGTGCTGATGAAGACTCCGAGACGGCTCACGACATACTCAATGCTCATTCTCAATTTTGGCATTTGCGACTTCTTGTCGTGCGCATCCGCCTTTTTCGTGCAGCAAAGGTGTGCAGGTTCTGAGAATATGGTGCATTTTTGTGGTGGGGGAGATGATCTCAGAGCATAAATCTATTCTCACACAGAAACTATAGCTGCATAACTAGTGAACGAAAAAATTGTGTCTGATGTACTTCCTAATAGTTTTTTCCAACTTATTCTAGAAACCTTTTCTTCCTAGTTTTTTTAGACATATTTGAATTACGTTAGACGCACTGTTTCTCATATACTCGTTTTGTATACAGTTTTGCATGGAAATGTGATGACGCAGAAAAAATGCTTCACTTAGAATTTAGTAAAATGACGCCGAAGTCATTAGCAGTTTGAAAAGAAGATTTAAACATTCATTTGAGAGTGAGTTTGGAAAAGGTAGTGTGATCAAAAAGTTAGGTCCTCGATATCTGCTTCACTCAGTAAGCAAAACTTAAAAAGTTCATGAACATAGATAACCTATCAATGCCTTGAAGGAAAGTGAAGGGAACGTTAGAAACGTGTGCAACTTTGGGCTGGAGGGTTATCCTTTTTTTCGTGACGCCTCCAACGGCTTTTCGACAGTGAAATTGGTGAGAGCGGAAAACATAATTTCTACTAGATGAAGCGTTAAGTCTGTCTGTCTGTCCGTGGTGTGCGTATCAAAATTCAGGACGCATGGACCAGTAATTACTACAACCGATAAGATCTGATAAGGGGCGTCAGAATACAAGTGTCAAGAAATCCATTGCCCACAGCATTGAGGTGCTGTCCTTTAGGTATGATATAGGGGGCGCGACGGGAACATGCATGCGGGGGGACAGAAAGTGATAGCAGCCTCAGGACCAGTCACTGAAGTTGTTATCTAGATGCGCCATGAGGAAACAAACCCCATTTGCAATGTTGTCGTCAATATCAAATTTCATTCGACCGCTCCTCCTGATGTTTCATACGATGGTCGGTGCTCGTGGAAACACAATATGGTATTGTATGTTACTATTTCATTATCATCTTCACCAGATGTTATCTAGCCGCTAAACATTCCCAACACCAAAGCATGGTGGTTGTTGATGCTGATGACTGAAAGTAAAGAGTCCATGCACTGTGTTGGCTATTTGAAGCTTATTAGGCTGCCAGACCATGTTTGTTTACGAAAAATGACTGATGGTTATAAGTTTGGACGAGCTGCGGGAAATGACTGCCTTATCACCAGCACCATACTTCATTTCGTTAATAACATCAGTAAAATCCATCAAATGTATGCATACTGCCTAAAACAAGGGCTCGGCTATGCTTAATTGCACTAATGTCTACTTTGATATGTGCGAGCGGGGCTAAACTGGTAGAAACGAAAACTAACGACTGTGAATTAATTTTCAAATAAACCGCAAGCAGAGAAATATTAGGTGTACAGACCATGGAGCACAGTTCTAATGTGTCGTCGAAAAGCAGAATCAGGATTATACAACTTTGCAAAAGCAAGAGCTATAATTTTTGTTATTTGTATAGAATTTCATGCATAATTCTATTTTTAGAATCATCCCCGGCGGCAACGCATTGTACTTTTTTTCTCATGGACCTTGTAAATTCATCGGATCCTATGCGTGCTATATTGGGTAAAGCTTCTTCTTCTAGCCATTTATATTGGAGCCAATCTCAGATAACCCGTAGTTCAGATACAGCATCATGTTGCACTGCCTCTCACACTGGTTGTGGAGCTTGTTGTTCTCGTTCTCATACCGTTACTATATATTGGGGCACCACGCCCCGAAAACTAGTACCGTTGTATTTCTTGTTATTCTATTATATATACCCTCCTTCTTTCAGTTTGTGAGATCCGTTTCTTTGCTCAAAACAGAAAAAATATTAAAAAAAGTAAATAAAGTAAATAATATCCTCAGAGTCCCTGCATAGTTGCATAGCATACAAATGCCCCTTGGGTGGCCATTTTCCTGGATTCTCCATGGATGCATATCACCGTAAGAACCTGCTCATAAATATTAGGGTTATGTTTATGTCTTCAGCAATGGAAAGTTCGAAGCTTCACGTGTTGGGTTTAAGAGTCTTTGGGATTTTTCGATGAGCCTCTCTAGTTGCCATCATTTTGATTATTCTACTACATTACTCAGCATCGTGTGAGAAGGCAACCACATTACAAAGAAAGCTATGCAACAATCAAAAGTGTCCAAGTCTCCGCCTCTCTTGCTTCACTCGGAGCAATGCGTTTTATTGGAAGCAATTTCCTTTTTATGTCAGAAGAATGAAATGAATCAGAAGGGTACGAAATCGAATCGTTATTGTTATGCTCAAATAAAATTTAAGGTGACGTTCTGTTTCACTAACGACGATGTGGAAGAAGTGAAATTATCACTTTCCAAGAAGTTTACCTACGATATGACATCGGCATGCGTGAATGGCCATTTGGACATTCACAACTGGAAAGTAATGATAGCTGTTCTTCACATGACATTGCCAATTACTCCGGTCTACATTGCAATCCTCATTCTTAGAAGATTGACCATAGCAAAGTTACGTACAGAAAGGGTAATGTCAGAGAATAGCAAACATCTTCACGCGCAGCTTCTCAAGGTGAGTCCTTTATGGTTTGGTTACATAAGATTTGTCTATTCTGATGTACATATCCTATCCATGGTTCACAGCAGTGTCACTAAAAAATATTGCAATCATGCTTAGTGACCACAACAGCACAGCAACTCCCAGCATTTGACTTTTCTTGTTTTCGCATCATTTCGTCTTTAATGGCATCCTCACCACTCACGTACATGTCATCTAGGGCTTCCACTTATTAGGAAGGTCTTTCAGGAAATAAGCGCCTTTGCAAAATGGTCCCTGCATTTGATAGCTATGCACATGAAACACAGAAATATGCTCAATTTTTTCTGAGCGGCCCTCTGAATGACAAAAATGAAAGATTCGTATAGAGCCTGCTGAACGGCGCCAAATTTCGCTAGCGACAAAAATCGGGGCCATTGATATGAACATTATCATAATGGGCCTTTTTGGGTTCTTTGCTCAAAACTGGGGTGAAAAGTGCATGGTGCTTAAACGGCGCCGAAATAGTGCGCAGTGAGACAAAAATGGCACTGCATTGCGCCATCATCAGAAACGGATGCCAGATTCGTAAACAGCGTACCGAATCACCATTACAGGAGAAATTTTGGAGAAAGATGAGATTCCGACCTAACTTCAAAAATTTGGGGAAAGCCATAGTCAGTTACACGCGCAGACGACCATTCGGATGTTTGCTACGAGAGTATAGCAAGCTGTCCCTCTGGTGGATGGTTACAGTTCCACCGAAGTCGTTCCCCATGAGGGACATCTCCCATCACAAATAGTAGTACCTCAAAATAAGTCCAATTATTGCGAAGAACCCTAGCTAGTGAAAGGAACGGAGGCCAAAGCACATTATCCTTTATCCTTCATGAGTAAGAAGGCATGCATCTTTGTCAATGATTGCGTTTTTCTGTTGATCAGACGTAGGTAGAGTGGATGCAGTTGTTAATTTCGGGGTCGAATATCCCATATGAGGGAAATGACAAGATAGGATTGGTTTGACTGAGTTCTATCGCTTCCAGAATCATGACGGGCAACAGACACCCGTAGCCCGCTTTTCCGGGGTGAAGTAGACATCTCGGTTTTCACCGAGTAAATCACCAATCGCCGAGCGATCGCCATTGCTCTGCGAAATGCTAACGACAGGCAATTGGTCCCGCCCGAGATCGATCCCATGTGACGGCAGAGCGCGGTAGTAACTGTGACTATTCCACAGATAGAAATTAAAAAAGACGCGTTTGGCGCGGTACAAACTCACGACCTGAGACAAACAGAGTGTGCGAGAAGTCAGCAAATCGACACAAAGATGTAAAATTCTTGAAATAAAAGCAATAAGTGTAATGAAATAATGCACAATTCAAGGGATCAATTCAAGGTGAAGGGCGAAACAAAGCAGAAAATACCGTAGTTTTGCATATTGATTAGAATCCTACCCAAATCTGAATTTCTATCAGAGTAATAGAAAAGGAAAACCATCAAAAACCCCATCAACCAGTTTGGCTGCGCGCACTGATGCGCGCATCACATGGTCTTCCAGCGATTTTGAAGAGGGCAACTGAGACTCCATCCACCGTGTTGAAACACTTCTACTCCTTCAAAAGCCTCTATTTGCTTTTTCACAGGTATCCCAGCGGAATATGCTTGAGAATTTTGGAATTTAGCTCCGCTCACCTCTGTGTGTGCCTGCCAAACTTTTGTATTTGACGAACATTTCCTTGTCATCTTTCCACTTCTTTCTTCTTTTTTTCTCTTTCCGTCTTCGTCCTACTGAATTTCAAAGTGAGGAATGACGGATGGGGTCGATAAGATTAAGTTGGGGTCATAGTGGAAGTGAGAATGCTGGAATAGTGTCCCTTTGGCGAAAAAAGCAAAGAAATCCGTCAAAAAGCGCAAAATGGGACCCTTTCTCTGCCCGTTGACCTCCGATAATGGACGAGCTAGCAACCATGTAAGAGGTCGTTTGCACATGTTCCGATTGCCACTATCATCCAGCGAAAATCATGCTCCCATTACATGGGGAAGTTATAGGATACACACTCAAAGTGGAATACCCCATCCTAATGATAGGAGTAATAATGTTGCTAGGCACACTAGTGGGCGGAACACAGACGGCAAAGACGCAAAGACGAGATGAAGTGAAGATTGGCAGCGTCAGGGCGCTGACCCAGCGCGCCTTTGGCTATGAAAACGTCACACTCCGCTTTCTCAAACCCCTGACTACTGCACCTGCTGGTGCACGTACTTCCATGCTTTCACTCGCACTCTATCGTCATCTCTCGCTTTAAGGTTTGGAACAAACTTTACTGCTTCGGTACATCGAAGTTATGCCACTGACTTTCCAATCACACATGGCCTCCTCTCATTCGCCAACTTCTATCCACTTTTTTCCGTGTCTGGGTTATACCTAATCGGAATTATAAAGTTGCTTAGCAAACAATTCCCGCTCCACCCTAAAAAATTTGGTTTGTCCCCGTTCGCTTAATTCTATGCTCTTTTTCTCCTAATTCTGAGCTGTCTAGGGATTTTACGGTGATACTAACAATTTGGAAGACCCCGCCTCTTCAGAGCGACCTGCCTCCGCCCCGTGTGCAAGCATAAAAGTACATGCACCAGTGGGAACAGTAGTCAGAGGCCTAGCGGAGGTAGATGTGGCTTTTTCGTCGCCAAAGGCGCGCTAGATCAGACCCTGGGGCTCTCATCCTCTTTGAGCTCCGCCTCTCCCGCCTGTGCTCCACCTTTTAGTTTGGCTAGCAACATCATTACTCCTATCATTTGCATGAGGCATTCCACTTTGAGTGTGTACCAATATGTGCGAACTACTTGGTAAGTGGTCACAGCTCGTCCATTATCGGAGGTTAGGTGGCAAAGAAAAGGAACCTTTTTTACGAGTTCCTAACAGAGTTCATCCATTTTCCGCCAGTGGGGTATTATCCAACATTCCCACTTCCACGATGAATCAAATCGACAATGATTGGGCTTTGTGATGACCTCCGAAAATGGCCAAGCTAGCAACCTGTTACCGGAGGTCATTAGAATATGTTTGACCGATAACCGCTATCATTCCAGAGATCATGCTTTGAATGATGACGTGCTTTCTATGGGAAAGTTGTAGGATACGCACTCGAAGTGGAATACCTCATCCAAATATAGGAGCAGTGATGGTGCTGGCAACACTAGTAGGCGGAGCATAGGGTACGGAGGCGGCGCTCGGGTAGGATTGGCAGCCTCA